TTCCTCTTCTAAGTCCACCATCTCTCCCTCACCCTCTCGCTACCTGACTTCTCAGTATCTGCAGACTACGAGAGAGAGAGAGGTTGGTGACTTTGGGACTTGAAGACATTTGGATCCAGACTCGACGTTGGGATTGAGACATTGGCCGAGGGATTATTTGGGACATGTACCGAAGACTTGGTGTTAACGACATTCCCATCTTCCCCTCTTCTTTGTCTGAACCCCCTCTTCTTTGTCTAAACCCCCTCTTCTTCGTCTGTGTATGGTTGGGGACTGGCGCATTCTTCCTGTGTGAGCGCCAGGCCCCTTCACACCATGGAGTGATGATGATGTATGTTTGGTCTGCATTGTGACATTCATTGTTTGGATCATTGGTATTTTAGCCTTCCGCTGTGCTATCTTGCACTATGCGAGATAGGTCGGTTCTTGTTCTGGTCTATACCGTTACGGTATGCGACAGTTTGGTATCGGAGCGGACTTCTCAATCAGAGGATCTGCCCAATCAAGGAGCCTGCTTGAGTATTAATCGATTGACAGTTTGACAATTGTTTGATTGGTTGAATCAAGTAGGATCCCATTAAATCCCAACAATTTTTTTTTTGTCTTTCTCGCAACAAATACCTGGAAATTTCTGATAGTAGCATTTCGTTTTATCTGAAAATTTATGATATTAGCATTTCGTTTTATCTGAAAACTTCTAATATTAGCATTTCGTTTTCACGCAACAAATATCTGGAAATTTCTGATAGTAGCATTTCGTTTCTCTGATATTAACATCCAAAAATTTCTGATATTAGCATTTGTACCCGAAAATTTCTGATGTTAGCATCTCGTTTTTCTTGGCATATTAGGATAACGACAGAGGTTGTCATATTCTGGGAAACTGGATTTATTCTTTTCTGAAAATAGAATCTCCATTTTATTTCGCAAAAAAATTGGTTGCTTGCTGAAGTTTTGCGAAGCCTATCAGCATGTCGTTTGTTAGGCATAATAGGAGGCTGTCATATTTTCGGAAACTGGATTTATTCTTTTCTGAAAATCGAATCTCTATCCCTGCGTAGCGTCGTGTTCGGGCTCGGTGACCGAACCTGAGCGCTCGGTACCGAGCCCGAACATGCCCCAAAATAGACCGAGCCCAAACATTTTTATTTTTTATTTTTTTTAAATATATATTTTTATTGCTCATCACTCATGAACATACACACACACACACACACACACACACACACACACACACACACCACACAAATGCACGCACACACACACACCACACACACACGACGATGCGCTCAGCAGCCCCCTAATTTGCGCTCAGCCGAACATGTTCGGTTACCGCTCGGCCGAGCGTCCGAACATGTTCGGCTGCTCGGCGGGGCGCCAAACATGTTCGGTGTGCTACACAGCTCTATCCTATTTTCGCACAATTTTTTTTCAAAATCGTAATTTTTTTTTTGAAAGCCAAAATTCTGCAAAGCCTTGCCTAGATCTTACTCTTAGCACTCCTCTGTAAAAATGCCTCACTGATATCAAATCGATAGATTTAAAAAAAAAAAGAAAAAAAAAAGGGGGGGTCCGCTTCTTTTATTTTTATTTTATTCTGTTGATTAGGACCGGGAATGGAAAAGTGCAGTTTGGTTACCTTCCTGCGTTTCCCTCCTACCAAGCCTGTGCCTGCATTCCGGTTTGGTAAGTGCCAACGTCAGCAGTGTCACGTCAGCAACAGTGCCACGTCAGCAACAGTGCCACATCAGCAGTGCCATGTCAGCAGCAGTGCCATGTCAGCAGCAGTGCCATGTCAGCAGCAATGCTATGTCAGCAGCAGTGCCACATCAGCAGTGCCATGTCAGCAGCAGTGCCATGTCAGCAGCAGTGCCATGTCAGCAGCAGTGCCATGTCAGCGGCAATGCTATGTCAGCAGCAGTGCCATGTCAGTGGCAGTGCCATGTCAGCAGCAGTGCCATGTCAGCAGCAGTGCCACGTCAGCGGCAGTGCCCCATCAGCAGCAGTGCCACATCAGTGGCAGTGCCACGTCAGCGGCAGTGCCATNGCAGTGCCATGTCAGCAGCAGTGCCACGTCAGCGGCAGTGCCCCATCAGCAGCAGTGCCACATCAGTGGCAGTGCCACGTCAGCGGCAGTGCCATGTCAGCAGCAGTGCCACGTCAGTGGCAGTGCCATGTCAGCAGCAGTGCCACGTCAGCAGTACCATGTCTGCAGGGACCCGCCACCATGACTGGTTCATCATTGGGCATGCACACGACAAGTCAGTGTGGCAGCCAGCCCATGTGGAGAAAGGAAAATTTTGTCCGCGTCTGCAGCATGTTGCTGCAGTCCAACCCGGCAGCCACCTCAGCATCACGTGAGGGAGATCAGGTGGCCGCTGTCCAGCCACGAAGCAACAACAACTCCCGTGGAAAAGGGTAGGCGAAAACCACGTTGCCGGCTGGAAATGGACAGCCGGTACCATGGGTCAAGTTTAACTTGACCGAGGCCGAATATAAGTGGTGCAGCCGGTATGGCTGCTGCTATTGGTGCAACAACACCAAGCACAAGACCTCCTAATGCCCCAATCAAGGCAAGGAGGATATTCGACCTCGAATCAACTCAGGACTGAGTTGTGCAGGAGGTGATGCGACTCCACCTCTCACTCCGCCAGATTTGGCCGCCTTGCTAGCGGCCTCCTACACATCTGGGGAGGAGGCGCATGTCGCAAGTCCTCGGTAATCTTACAAGGATTACGCTGTCCACTTGGTCCCACCGTTGGACCAACCACTCCACGTGCAACAATCCACCGCATGATCGGTTTCACCACCATCGGCAACTGATTCAGCAGCTTCGCCGCCAACTTTCGCCGGGGATTCGACGTCATGGTCAAAACTTAACGAGCTCGACTTGTTGACATTCACGGACTTCCAATGGATGCCCGTTCCCCTGCCCGATTGATTGTCGAAACCGCATTGCAACTTGCTCATGGCACAATTGCGGGATTACTTGCACATTCCAGTACCGGCTCCGTTGATGGACGCCGGAGTAGAGGTTGTCGACCTTCGCGACTACCTTGCGAAGATCGACTGCGAGTTCAAGACACAACGGTACGACACCAACGACGTACCATTGCTGTACATACGTATTCAGATCGGAGAAGCGACCTACACATTGATCGATTGCGGCGCTACTCGCAATAATATGAGCCAACACTTCATGGTACGCGTTGGCCTTGGGCCACGCGTTCGGAAGAAGTCGCAGCCCACTCAAGTCACGTTGTCACACGCACAAGCCATCGACTAGTGCATTGGTTTTGTCCCCGTGTTCTTTGACCCGCATGCAAGCGAGGCCATGTCGTTCGACATTTTGGACACCAAGTTACGAGCAGATTTGCAAGCATCTGCACCGCTGATCTCCGACTATGAGCAACGAAGTCCAACTAAGGAAGCTTCACAACCTGCCCCTACCACCCGAACTTTGGTCCCTTCCTCTGACAGGCAGCTTCGCCCGCGCAGGTAAGCTCGGTCTTTCAAGGAGCGGGGGCTGTGGCATACTGCGCAGCCACACGGGCGTGCAGGGCCCGACCAGACGGAAAATAAGGGCCCTACAGGCCCTGTGTCGTTTCAGCCTGAAAGCCTGAAAACAAGGGCCTACAGCCCCTGTGTCCTTTCAGCCTGAAAGCCTGAAAACGACGGCCTACAAGCCCTGTGTCGTTTCAGCCTGAAAGCCTGAAAACCAGGGCCTACAGGCCTTGTAGTTTCAGCCTGAAAGCCTGGAAATGAGGGCCTACAGGCCCTGTGGCCCTCCAGGCCCTGAGTCTTTTCAGCCTGAAACGGAGGGCCATTTCCAGGCCCTCATAAGATCGACCTGCCCTGAAACTTAGGCACCAGACCAGGGTTTTAGCACAGACCATTTTGGGCCTGGTTTCAAGATAACCTTTGTTTGAACTTCAACGCCAGGGTCTGGCACGTTTTGGCATTGGCAAGAGCAGCCTCCTGGACGGGCCAGCACTATATAAGACTGGCCCG